TCCTTTTTTAAAGGACGTTTTTTTAATCGACTGGACAAGGACACTAATGCAAGCAAATCATTACTCTTTCGTTTCCTCAGATGGTAAAGAGATTATTCTTTTGTATTACTTCTACTCTAATTTTCTATCCATTTTTGTGTTTTTCGCTGTGTACATTTTCCCTCCTCTCATTCAAAAATGGCGGAAAAAGACACCCATCTAAAACAAAGATGTACTAAGGTGTATAAACACTACATTCACCCAAACTTGCAATTGTTGTAATCATTTTGTTAATACTTGTTCAGAAAATATCAAAACTCCTTTATAAAGGACAAAATAAAATAAATTTAAGTTAAAAAAAAATTGAAATACTCCAAGATGTGTTATGGCTCCTTCATTTGAATGCACTGTCACATAAAAAAAAAAAATGAAATCAGTTAATTTTTGAGACCTTGGTCATTAATTGGTTTAAGGAAAAAGAAAGTTTGGAGGAGAGGGTGCGTTACAGCAAAATAAATGGTGTTTTAAGGTCAGACTATCGTTTACTAACATTTCTGGACAGCATGGTGACTGAAGTGAGCTTAAAGCTGAGGATAAATACTAAAAAAAAGAAAGTTATTGCGCCAGTTTCTGTAAAAAAATAAATGCATGTTTTGCAGAGGTTATACTCACTAGTCTTGTATTTCTGTAGTGTCAATTTTATCAAGCCGTAGTCATGTTTTAGTTAGCAATATTTTATGCTTTCTTTTTACAAGCATCTAACCATCGTCGGCTGTTCTCTCAAAATGCTGGTTTAAAAAAAAAAAAAAAAATAATTTTTGTTTTACTACACATCATTACATTTTCTGCTTTTAAATTCGAATTTAATGTAACTTTCGCAGGATGTTCACAACGCCTGATCTAGCATTCTTTTAAAGGATCTGTGATCGCATTTGTAGGTTTTTATAAAAGACATCAGAAAGTTAGAAGATTTTTTTTCACAGTTATTCAATAACCCAAGTTTTAAGTTCCACGAAATAAAATTAAAGCACATACAAACAGTTCCTCTAGCCAAAATCACGGACCTGTACATTTCCCAAGTATATGCCAAATGAAAAAAAAATGTTCATAACTAAAAGCGTAAACAGGATCAAAGTAGGTAAATAAAGATCAACACGGCCATCGTTTCCATAGCAACTGAGCCTTGTTCACTTTTTTAAACTACTGATTTCGCACATCAGATATGGGCTTTTTATGGTTTGCAATAGCCGAGATAGACTTTTTTTTGTAGCTCTACTTTTAAAAAAAAGCATATCAGGGACACTGGTTTCAGTTTCTGGAACACCAACAAGATTTATTTATACTGTTTGTTTTCACAACAAGATATTGCTTTTTTTAGAGGCATCTGATTTAAGGTTTTAAACATTTTCAATTTCCAAGTGTGAAATCCTGGGTCAATGCTTCTCATTCATAAATAATTTTTCCACAAGTCAAAGTCTTGCTCAGGAACATCTTTTCAAAAGGATTGAAGGCCTGTAAGACCAGTCTTGACCTCAGTAACAGCTTCTTTCTCGCTTACCAACATCTCATCCCAGCAGTTTAAGGACTGCCAGACCGGTCTTGACCTTACTTATAACTTTTCCCAAATCAAAATCCTGTTCTTCTACATCTCTTCCAAACAGTTTAAGGACTGTCAGACCTGTCTTGACCTCCTTTATAACTTTTCCCAAATCAAAATCCTCAATCTCTGCTTCTCTCTTGCCGAACAATTTTGCAATACTAACAGCTCCTGGGATTATTGTCACGAGATCTTTGCCAATGCCTTTAACGTCGTCTCCTACCTTGTGCCAGTTTGTGTCTTCTACCTCAACTGGAAGAGTGTCTCTCTTGCCGAACAAACTGGCAATGCTAATAGCTCCTGGGATTATTTTCACGAGATCTTTGCCAATGCCTTTAACGTCATCTCCTACCTTGTGCCAGTCCGTGTCTTGGAACTCAACTGGGAGACTGTCTCTCTTGCCGAAGATTGAGGCTACAGAATGGGTGATTTTGTGAATGCCTCCTGTGACCTTTTCCAAAGCAAAGTCTTCCACATCCATTGGGGCAACATCTCTCCTGCTAATCACATTCAGCACCTTGTTGTACAAATCTACCAAATCTTTCTTGCTTCCCAGATCCAGGTCCTGGTTTTCAAGGTCCCTTTTTCCAAAAACTCCGGCAAGAGCACCTGTGACTTTCTTGATGCCGTGGGTAACGTCTTCTAAATGAATATGAATATCTTCGATCTCAATGGCATCCAGGCCGTCTCTTTTGTTCAGCAGATTTATAACTGGCTTCAGCTTGTTCACGATGTCTATGATATCAGCCAAATTCAGATCCTCTGCTTCTACATTAGCATTATTCTGGAAGAAGAAAGTGATTTCATTATTTTCTTTCACCATGTTTTGTTGTCCATTCAACAGTTTAACAGATTCTACCTGCTCGATATCGCGAGAAAAAAATATCAGTGTTTTAGTCTTGGGATCGTGATAAAACACAATGAATCACTTATTACTGAAAGCAGCATACATTTCAGTTTTGCGTCCAGAGTACAATGACTGATTCAAAGTGACATTGGTGGCGTCGGTGGCCTAGTTGTTTGGCTACCGGACCCTTAAGTTCGAGATTGCGGGTTCGGGGGTTCGAACCTCTGCTCGGACTAATGTTGTGTCCTTGGGAAAGGCACTTTACACGAAATTGCCATTCGGCTCTGTTCTTTTGGAGATGGAAGTTAAACTCGCAGGTCCCGTTTTTAAGTGTTGATAGCAGTAGGAGCGACCTGTACCATCTCATCATTCAACAATTTGTGATGCAGCGTGGTGAGATAAGGCACTCGTCAAAATAATGGTAGTGAAGAAACTGGCATTTTCCCGCAAGTTTGGGAATTTGAATCACATTTTTGTTTTTTGGCCCAACACCTTTTCCTGCCCATTAAAGAACTCATTTTGTGTGGATTTTACTGAAAAACTTTGATTAAAGCATACAAGATGAACATTTTCAGTTTCCATGGACTCTCAAGCTAGGGAAAGAACGCACCTTTGGCGGGCATAACTCGATAATTTTACCTCAGAAACCTGGAGACCCCTACCTCCTTCAATCTGCATCCAAGGTAAATGGATATTGTTTTCATAAAAAGCAAGGAAAATGGACAGGCTTTAAGATGATACTAATACCTCCGTATGCCCAAAATTGACGAGCACCTGATTCCACCGTGTCGTGACACATTTGGTTTAAAGTGATATCGGGTGTCAGACAATGCTGTGTCCTTTCACCATTACTCTTTATAGTCTACATGAACAGATAACACAAGAAACAAACGACAACTCAGAGCAACTAAATACAATCCTCTTTGCTGACGACAACTTAGTAAAAAGCTCTTCGCTGACGACCAGAGCCCGATAGTATAACAAGACCAGGACAGACTTCGAGAGCATATAGCTCAATTAAACAAAACGTGAGAGGAAAATATGAAATAAAAGTGAACACAACTAAGACACAAGTAATGAAGACCCGAGAAAGGAAACCCCATTAAATATCAAAGTCACACAATTGAAAACAGTACAAGTATTTAAAAAGGCCTTCTTTGGAAACATGTTCTCGTCAGACGGAAACATAACAGAAATTTAAAGACGAGTATTAAGCGTGCAAAAGCGGTCACATTACCAACGAGCACGCATCCTCTCCCATCAAAACACCATAATGGAGACAAATAAACAACTACATGTACATATAATCAGAGTAGTCATCATAGCCTCTCTCTGCTACAAGTATCGAACCTTGATCCTCAACAAAGCGCAGTAAAGTAAAATGACAGCTTGCGAATTGGAAAGTCTTAGCAAAACGTTGAACACCACGAGGAGAGACAGAAAGAGAAACGAAGACATCATATGTCAAGTGGAAGTCAGATCAAGTGAAATGCATCTAGACAAAGAAATTATAAAGTGGTTTGGACATTTAACGAGAACACGGTCACGACAGCCAGCCCCCAAGGCCTACAAAGTGCAATTTGATGGCTTTTTGAAAGGGGGGGGGGGTGTTACACCCCCAAAATTCAGATTCGGTTCAAAACTATGGAATTTGAGTTGTAGGCATTTTAGCTTCCTCAGCCTTCCCTACAACTATTTCATAGCAGAAGAACCCCCCATAAAACGTATTTTTTCTCGTACCGGGCATGTTTGTCACAAACATTTCCTCTCAAAGTCAATATTTTATTTTTCTTTATCGGCCGTTTTCTCCAAACGCGACTTTTCTCTATATCCATACTAAAAAAAATAACTCCACCATTTTTTCATCCAAACTTCATGAAATTTTCACAGAATGAAGAGAAGACGTAGGCCTAATACTAAATATTTGTCTGTTGAATTTTAAATATATAGAACAGATTTTTGTTGGTGGTGTCTGGAGTGTTGATTTTCACGGATTTTTTGCAAACTTGAATGCTACCTCAGGAAAAAAATTCATAAAAATTTTTCTAATTCTTTTACGAAAAAAACAACAACAAAATTTTAGATCTAATGTTTATTAACATGCATGCAAAAACCCCCCAATCAATTTCCATAAGCGATAAGTGCGGTATTCATTACGTAAGACATGTAAACAAAATAAAAAGTGGAAACCCTCCAAAGGAACAACATGAAGATCCAAACAGCAACACACCTAGCCCACGTCTGACAGTTGCATTTGCCCTCGATTCCTGATAGTATAAGAGGGCAGATAAAATATTGGTATTAAAAGTAAATAATAGACAGGCAGATAGCTCAGCTGTATTATACAGGGCCAGAGTCACTATCATCATCATCATCACCATCATCATCATCATCATCATCATCATCATCATCATCATCATCATCATCATCATCGGTAGTAGTGTTTTTACCAAACCTAAAATAATTACCAGTTGGGCAGGGAGGGCGGACACACCAGCCAAAGCAAGGGCACAGACCAAAATGACAGCGTTCATCTTGACGGGGCTTGTCTTCTTTCAACTCTGAAATAGGCAAAGCAAAATCGCGTTTAGATGTACATATGTATGTAGTTAAGTTTTGACCTTGTAGTGTCAGTTCAATGCAGTGACCTACCAGCTTGCATCCTTGCTCAGTCACAAGTCACAAGAACATCGCAATCGAATTGAAAGCTCAGCTTATAAATAATGTCTTCACACCAGTGCCAAACATGATCACTAAATAAAGCACGAGAAAGAAAAATTAATTTATGCGAAATGAGGTGTCTCCGCAAAAACCATCAATGTTGTCGGAAGAGACAGTATAGAGAACGAGACTATACGCCTACAAACCGGAATACAATCAGTTACGAATTTCATTGAGCTTCAAAGAATCAAATGGTTTGGACATCTAACCAGAATGCTCTAGAAACAAATAGCGGCACTGTCTGGATTGGGTTAAAAGGGTCCTGGAACTATTAATTAACATCTATCACTAACGCCATACAGCACACAGGATCTAAACCTGCACATCACCTCGACATCCAAAGGATACCAGTACCAGAGGAAGGAAAAAGTAAAAGTAAAATCAAAGTCTCAGTGCAGTTGGAAGCAGTGCTGGAAAGTGAATCTGAAGTTCGTTACTAAAAATATATTGTTTTAAGCTACGAAAAGTGACGGCTAATAAAAGAACGGCAAGTGTTTTTTTTTTGTATGTTGTTTTTGTTTTTTGTTGTTTTTTATTTCTTTTTTTATGCGTACAAATGGAGATCTTCTGAAACTCAAAACGTCAAACTTTCATAAAGTGGCCTAAATCATAAACTGAGATGTGCTTAAGGCTTTGAGGTTAATTTTTCTGTCTCATTAGCTCCCTTGTTCCTGTTTCAAATACAGTTGAAACTGTATCAGACGGCCACCCATTGTCGAGGAGAAAAGTTGTTGTCTTAGACAGATGGGCATCTTACACAGAGTCATTATAAATGTGATATTTTAGAATACACAAGGGAGGAAATGAGACGTGATCGTTTGCAAAAGTGATTGTCTTATACAGGCGGTCATTAGAGCAGGCTCAACTATATAATTGAAACTGTCTAAGCCAAGAGCCCATAGATGAGGAGAAAAGTGGCTGTCTTAGACAGACAGCTTCTCACAAAGTGTCATTATAATGTTAAAAAAACAACCCAAGCCAACTTTAAGGGAGGAAATGGGACAAGGTCGTTTGTAAAGGTGATTGTCTTATACAGGTGGCCATAAGAGCAAGTCCATATGTACAGCTGAAGCTATCTAGGATGGCCACCCTTTGACAAGGAGAAAAGTAGCAGTATTAGACCGGTAGGCGTCTTACACAGTGTTATTTTAATGCAAAATATACACAAGGGAGGACGTTGAAATCGCCCTTTTGTACAGGTTGTCTTTTACAGGTGGACAGTAGAGCAGGTTCAACTGTAGCCTATTACTCCTGATACTAGTTTCTTACTGAGATTTTTAACCGAAACTTCATTTTCCTGACCCGAAACTTTCAAAGGTCACCTTCGATTCTATGTTGAGATGAGATAAGTAGACAGATTTGACTGATAAGAAATTTTGTTTTTCAGCCAAAAACACTCGAGTCAAAAGTGGAACTTTCTGCTTAATGATAATGTTTTCAGCGTGCAAAGGTCGTTAGGTGGATGGTGTCTCTTCCAGTGGTAGGTTCTATTTTAACTTCTGTTTTTAAAAAATAATTAAAAACATTATGTTTGTCTGTCCTATTAGCCAGTTCTCACGGTGTGGGTTTTACACCTCCCTGCCAACACTAAATATACATGTATTCAAAAGGCAGCAGGGCCAATGGCCTTAACGCCCATCTCCGATAGGACCCAATGAAATGACAGGATAGCCTTACCCCCTCCCCACCTCCAACTAAATTAAGTTCAGAACGTCCGTTGGGGATTCAAACCAGGCCACCCATTCCATAATCCAACGTGGTGCCAACGGTGTCTTGAGCTAACGGTGCACCACGTCTAGTTCATCTTTTTCCTGCATTAAATAGTGAAAAAGACAGAATTGAAATGCAGCGTGATAAGAAAAAAACCCAAAAAAATCTTTGTAAACTTTTTGGGCAAATATTTCCACCACACTGCACTGGCGCCTTGTGTTTCAAATACCGGTACAATATAATTTGGCAGCCAAAAGGAATTTTTGTGATATTCGTTTTAGATAGTTCCACATAATAGTTTTGCTCTCAAAAGCGCAGAAGAAAATAACCCATTTTTTTAACATGACGCACCAGTTCGCATTAGGCCTACCTCTTAAAGTCATATTGCAAGACACAGCAGTCTAACAAGTCAATTGAAGTTTGCAGATATTTTTTTCTCAAGTGTCCTTTGCCTGCTGAGATCATAGTTAAGTTTAGTAAAAAATAGAGAGCATTTTTGTTGTTGTATTGAGCATTGCCTCGCCTCCAACTTATCAGCCCCAACATAATTTCCTAAGTTTGACACAAGTTGAGGAAAGACAGCTAAAGTGCCCTCAGGGCTTTCTCTGATGTCATGGGTAGAGAATTTCCGTCCGTTTGAATCTATAGAGAGAATCAGAATGTAAAATTCCTAGACAAAACGACCACTACAAGTCGAAAACGCACCGTTTACAACCTTTTAACTGTCACAAAGATACAGAATTCAGTAGTCGTGTTCCATGAGACGTCTGTCCGCTGACAATGTCTTCGGCTACGCCTCTCCTAAACCTTAACGGTCCAGTTTCTCAAAGTAAATCTTCGCCTATGACAGTATCATTTTCATGTTGACGTGGATGAGGGGATGGCTATGTGTTCATGGTTCCTCGGTCCTCTTGAAAAGCGTAAACATTTCCTGAATGACATTTAATTTATGGTTCAGTGCGAAGTTCATTTTCGCCTTTCAGGATAAGTAAACAGTACAAATGCTGTCTATTGCCCGCCCCCACCTTCTTTTATATCTAGACGACATTTTGTAATGAGGAATTGTAATTCTAAAAAAAGTTTACGGTGTGTGCGGTTTGAAGCATTTGTGATTAGGCGTGTCCTTATGTTCGGCCACCCCGAATGACGCGTCAAAAATGTTTCGAATCCAAAGGAGGACATGGAAATCACTGGCTCTAAGACTTCTAGAATATCAATGTTAGTTTTTTTTAAAATTCTGTAAGAGAGATTAAATCTTGTTTAAATGTTACAGGGATGGAAAAATTAAAAGTTAAAAAGAAAAGGAAGGAAATAAAAGGCTAACCAATCGATTCATGACTTTCTTTAAAAGATTTTTATTGGTGCATTTTGCGTTTACAGGTGTTTTTTCTTTAAGCCGTTTTTGTTTTCAAAAATAGCTTTTTTTTTCATTATAAATTTTATGCAAAAATATTCTTTGGAATAAATAACATATGCTCCAAATTACAACATTCTAGAACAATTTTTGTGCTAGATAAGCAGAAAAAAAATTGTCAAGTCTTTTTGGGTTATCCTGTACTTTGGCCTCATAAATAAATCAAATAGACTAGAAAAACTGCTGCTGTGTGGAATGATGGAGGAAAAGAAAAGCAGAGGAAGGCAAAGAACAATATAACATATAAGCCTACAAAGATGTCCTGAAAAACCTTGCCACGACGAACTCAAAAAGAAAAAAAGATACAACAATAAATTCTAGTTGGCTTTCCGTGAGTTGAAGTAAAATGTATAACTACCAATTACATTAAAGCTTACTGTTCCAGTTCCAGCTGAACTTTATGTAGGCCTAAATTCAAACTGAATAAATTTCTGCCAGATCAAAAGCTAAGCTATTCATTTCAAGGACCCTCTGTAGACGTACAACGTTTTCCGTTTTTATTTTTATTTTTGTTACGCGATATTCATCAGTTCTGAGGCCGCCTCAAATCTTTCACATAGACGTTCGTGAGTCCCTAGATCTACAACATAAAGCCTCATGGGCGCGCCAGTCTTTGGTCAAAGGGCTGGTATCCGGCAACCGGGAACGCAAACCATTTTTTCCCCAACAGGCCTAGGTGGCCCAGTTCCTTTGAAATTTCTCCACGCGACTTTAAAACTTCATTCCAATTTCTTGTAAAAAAATGGCGAAAGCCTAAAAATCTTAGCATTTCCATACTCAGCATTCCAGGTATAATAAGCATAGATTACAGTCCGATAGGTTACCGGGACCAGGGCAAGGTACAACAAGTCTAAAGTAGGATCATCTATGCTGAAACGTATTACTCATCTAACATTTGAAATGGACAACTGTCTTTCTTTTGTGCTCTCGCCGTGTTGATATCACAGTAGATGTCGGCGTCTTTCGTCGATTCTCAAACTGAACTTTTGTGAATAATTTTTTTTTTGTGTGTGTGGACATCTTCATGGCTGTCAACAAATCACGCACTGAACTGGGCATTGGAGTGAATACCCCACACAAGTAGCCATACCACAAACACACATTACCAATATCTTTCTAATGTCTATTGTTATTCTGCTACACTCACAGCACAAAGTGAACTGGTCAACGCTTCAAAGTAATTCTCCGTTTCAAGAAATGTAAAAAACCCATTGCACACCCTCCCCTCAACCACCCCCCAAACAACAGCAACAACAACAACAACAACAACAACAACAACAACAACAACAACAACAACAACAACAACAACAATGAAATAGAATCAAATGAGCAAGCAACTGAAATCGAAATCCTGTCTTGCATAATTTGCAGTTTTCAGTTTCAGTTTGGAAATAGACCCATAATTGCATAAGGGCATATGACTCCAATATGAACGCTCGTGTTGTTTTCACGTTAGTTCACAGATGAGCTTGGTTTTAATTTGTAAAGTTGAAATGTGTTGGAATATAAAATGTCACGATAAAAGTTAAGTTTTTAAAACAGTAGTTCAATTTTAGAAAAAAGAAGGCTAGATCTACTAGCCTATTAGGCCTATCAACATAAAAAAGTAAAAACCAATGATTTTGTGATTTTAATTGAGATAAAGACAGAGAACAAGTTCTGCAAATCAGTGTGTTTAAAAATAATAGTTCCTACTGGTCTCTCTAAAGTCTCGTTAGGTCGTTATTGCATA